GGCCCATGCGTCCAGAGGAAAGGTCCGGGAAGAGAAACTGCCTTCCACGCACCCAACCGCAAGCCAACAGACTTATCGCATTGATCTTGGCCCCTGTCACCATCTCATACCCACTGATCTCTTTGCTGACTTCGTCAATCTCGGCTCTGCTCGACATAAGAACCGAAACGTCGTCAGCATAGGCAGAATACCTGGCTGAGGTGGAAGCCCCAGGCAGGAAAATTCCGCGCAGGACCGGATTCGCCTTTAACTTGCGAAGGAATGGTTCCAACGCAAGAACGTAAAGCAAAGGCGAGAGCGGACAACCTTGACGAATGGAGCGAGACAATACGAAAGGCTTCGATCTTACCCCATTTACTTCCACCAGCGCACCGGAGGTCGCATACAAAAGTCGGATCCATGAGCGAAAGTCGGCTCCGAAACCGGTCGCCGAAAGGACAGCCTCCAGAAAACGATGGTCAACCCTATCGAAGGCCTTGGACTGATCTAAATTAATCAGCGCGGCTTCACTGTCGACTTTTTCTAAAATCAAGCGTACCATATGAAGGTTATCCTGAATAGTCCTGCCCTTCACAGCACAAGTCTGTTCGAGGCTAATCAGACTAGACAGGACAAGCTGCAAACGGTTGGCTAAGATCTTCGCCAAAATCTTTAACTCAGTGTTTAACATGGTAAAAGGGTGAAAGTTCCCTAACCCATCCCCACCGTTCTTGTCCTTACGCAGCAACTTGATCACACCCCTGGTGAAGCGTTGAGGTATAGACCCCTGCTTCATCCAGTTGTTGAAAATTAGTTCCAGCAAAGGAACAAAAACGTGCGACAACCTTAAGTAAACTTCGTAGGGAAGACCATCTATTCCTGGCGACTTATCCAGGCTAACCTGCTTCAGCGCTTCCCAGATTTCCGACTCTGTAATGGGACCCTTGTACCTAGCCGCTTCAGCTGCCTCGAGGCAGGGAAATTCAGCTAAATAGGCGTCGAACTGAGCAGAGCTCAGACCGGGCTTCCTGGTGAAAAGATCCTGAAAGTAATCCCGAAAGACCTCACATATGCCCGTGTTTGTAATCACGGTCCCTCTTATCCGGTAATGTGACGCACGCTTTATGTCGCCTAGACGCGTTCCGATTTTCCTCTGCACGCAGTTCAGCGGCCATATTCGTCGCCTCCGAAGACATTCTTTTTAACCTAGCCCTAAGTACCAGAGCTTGATCCTTCTTGATAAGCAAGGAGGACAACTCTGCCTTAGCTAAGCCTATTTCCCCACTAACACGGGATTTCACGGCCCGATCAACTTTATTTAGCCGTTTGCGCCGCTAATCTATCTAGACGGCAGCAAACGTTCTAATTTTAAATTTTAAATTATCCCACCAGGCGTTTCCCATAACTGCCCTCGTCAATTACCTTTGTATCATTAGTAACAGCTGGTCCCGGAAACCCTGCTCACTGAATAATCTCGTCTTACAATATCCTCTTGCCTCTTGAGAGGCGCAGTATTTATAATGTCAGGAATAGTCCATTATTATTATGTGTAAGTTCCCATAGCAGTATCACATAGCCATCTTGCACTATTTTCTTTCTTTATAACGATTGTTTTCCATTTCTCGGCACTTCGCTTGGCTTTTGGAATGCTTCTTTCGCTCGTCCAATAATCGTTTGAATCTCGGTGTCAATTTTTCCATCGGCTTTTAAAACACTTCCCACATATTTCAAATTCTTTACCTGCCTACATTTCCAAATTGGAATTCGCATCTTGGGATTTTTCTCTTGTTGGTAACCATCCTTTCTATTGTAGTTGAGTGTTCGTCCTTTATACACCCTTTCTTCTACCAACCTGTCTAATAGGTCTTTTCCAGTCGGCGACCTGCATATTAGCTCCAGTTTGCTAATGACAAAAAAAAAATAGTGTTTTGGAAAAGTATTTACCTGATCTGATGCGTTTCGATTTCTGTTGGGTCATTCTGATGGTTGGTACAAACCTAGATGTAAACAATATGAATGTATCTATCGATCATGTCCTGTACCAACAGTTCAGACTGATCTCTCTGATGTAATGGTAAGGAAACTCTTGTCTTGACAAACATTGAATCTTGTTTATACTGTTTAAATTGTGACTGAATACTTGATTCAATTTATAACTACCGTGAACTTATCTACTGCTAGCCACATCCATGAGGACAAAAAAAAATAGTGATAGGTTGGCTCATAGGATACTGCAGTGAGTTTCTGTTTTAAAGCAGACTCTACAGTCAACAGATCTCAATCTCATCTTTGGGATGTGATGGAAACTTAGATTCGAACCGATCTGCATATATTGTTAAGATACGTGTTTGTTACGGAGTTAAATTACGCAGCAGATGCACGTAAAATGGTTTTAGCTCACTAATATACATTCTGTTTGAAAACGCACTTACATCGGGTGTAGGGCGGATTCCAATGCAGAAAACACCGTAACTCTTTTCCACAACGCCCTATCAACGACAGTCATCATCAATTCTGTAACAATCATACCTGTCCTTTATTTGACATTTTCAAACCAGTTTTTGTGTTGGCGTCCGCTCCTACGTCCTCCTTTACCGATGTCTTGCATGATGGTCTTGTACAGGCCGTCGTGCCTTGAAATGTGTCCAAACCACGCCATTTTGTCTCCGTTTGACAGTACCTAGAAGAGGTTTCTGGGGTTCCTCAAAACTTTCAACTCTTTTCTGTACAAACTCATTAGTTTTTGTTCCCAATAGAAAATGCCAATGCATTTCTTTTTCATGCATTTGTTCTCAAATCTTGCATCCTTCTATCTGTATCTGCCAAAAGTGTCCACGTTTCACATCCATATAGAAGAATGGAGACTACAAGCGATTTGTACAGACTGTAAATTACGCGGTAGTTACTCAGCTTTAAAGAAGTTATTAGTGGCATATAAGTTAAGTATAAAATGAAGAAGAAGAAAATTTTGAAAAATGATTTCTGAAAAAAAAAATGTTGGTGTCAATCCTCTTACACTGGCAGCCGTTCGATCACCTCTTATTAAAGAGAATCTTTGAAAAGTTTCAAATATTAAACAATTTAACAGAATTATGAGTAATAAAAACACGTCAAAAACATCTAACATCTAAAAAAGAAAACGAGCCACATATACTAGACTTAAGAATTTTTTTGCGTTCACACGAGAGAAGACAGTAAAGCCACTAAGACACAAGGAGTTACTGAGTATGGAAGAATTAGAAACAGAAACATTACTAAAGAAGGAGAGCCTAAATAGTAATCAGGAAAACAGGAGATAGCAATTGTCATTTCATTTAATTTTTTTAAAGATCAAGCCAACCTGAAAAACAAGAAACTGCAAGGTAGGTCAACAAGCGAGAAAATTAAACTTTTAGCATAGAACCTGTGCTTCCATTTAACCATTTCAACAGAAAAAAAATGAGACCTTGACGGCCACTTAGTACTGCGCTTACATTCATAAATCTAAATACCATACAGGAACGTTCATAATTACAATTATCATGAAAGTATCAATAGAAAAGGTACAGGGAAGCAACGTTACGGCGGTTGGAAGGGACTGAAACCTAGATGCCAAGTTAGGACCGGTAATATTGCAGATTCTTCTTTTTATCTCTAAATATATAGCAAGAGCACCACACTATATATGGTAGCAATATTCAAAGCGTGGACGAATGGTAGATTTATGAATATGCAAGATAGACATGGGCGAGGAATAATTGTCTAGCACAACACAGAAAACCAACTTTCCTAGCGGCAGGTTTAGCAATTGATACATAAACTGTTTCCATTTAATTCCGTGGTTTCCATCGTATAAATTACTAACTTTACGACTATAATTTGAAGGAAGTAACTCATGCCTTCTTAGTGTCAATGTAAACGAACGCCTTCTTTTTGTAGATGGCTGAAAAGCAAGAAGTGCAAGAAAAGAAACTGATAGTATAGAGTTTACGATTACATCTAGCCAACTCAACTGTAAATTGATGAGATATCGACGCCAATCTAGTAATGCGCTTAAATTTAAAGATTATAGACACCATAGCAAAGAGATGACACGAAAAAATTACCATGAATGTATTTTTGGAAAATACACATGGAGGCAACCTCACTGCGGTGGGAAAGTCACTGTAGCCGAGACGCCAGATCAGAAAGAATGATTACTCTTTGTAGTTTATCAAGGAGCCTTAGATAAATAGCATAAGCCCCGATTCATATGTTGCAGATATATTCTAAGCATGTATGAATGGTAGACTTATAGATATGTAGGATAGATTCTGGGGGTAATTGTTGCCTTGCACAACACAGTGAACCAGATTTCTCAGCACCTGACCTAGCAATGGATTCAATATATCTTTCCACTTCATATCAGCTGACAACATTAGTACGAGAAGGTACAACGAATAAATTTCCATGGGGTTAGAATCAGCCATGTTAATAAGAGGCAGAGAAGGGTATATCTGATGATTAAAAGAGAGCGGAGTAAATAAAATTTAAAGAATAAAGAGAGTTATATGTAATTTGCTTAACTGAAATAAGCCAAGTTGAAATGATGCCTACATCAGTGATTACGGAATACAAATGACGTTTCCTTTTTCTATTAGTAATATTATCATATTATATATGTATATATATATATATATATATATATATATATATATATATACACACACACACACACACACACACACACATATATATATATATATATATATATATATATATATATATATATATATATATATATATACACAGAAAGAGAAAAAGAGAATGGAAACTTTTCTGGAATGAGATTAAGTGGTATTTTATATTCTCTGGGTATTTGTGTGTGTCCTTTGGTCTGTTACAGTGATTTGACCAAGGTCGGTCTTCTTTGGCTGATTTTTCGCCCCAAAAATGTAGCGCATAAAAAACTTTATATATATATATATAATTTTATTATAGTAATAATATTATGCAGTCTCTGAAGAAATCGCAATTTTAAACTTGACATTTACAAATAAGCATACGGCGACATCACGTTGGAACACCGGTCTTCGTACAATCACCGAAGTTAAGCAACGCAAGCCTGGTCAGTACCGTGATGGGTGAACGCTTGGGAATACCACGTGCTGTCTCCGTTAATGTGTAGATGGGGTAATAGATAATTGCTCGGAATTTTTAATCGAAGAGCCCAGTTACAATTTCAGTTGGATTCATTATATTCACTTACGGGAAATACCCTTGGGAAAGGTATAAATTCATTTCTTCTCCCCTAGCTATGGGTTAATTGTAAGATACTTTTTGTTATGGGGTCCACCCTTTTCGGATATAATGGACTCGCCCTGATGCCATAAAATAGCCACAGTCAGGCAGAGAAGGGGAATCGTACATGAGTCGTAGGGTGTCGGATGGAGTCAAGTAACCTCTTGTAGAAGTCAGTTACAAGCACGTAGACTCTAAGGAAGTCCTACTTCGAGAGTATATATATATATATATCTGTATTTGCTACTAACCGTGTTCCTGGATTTTACTAACAGCATTACCTTTTATATTTTGTGTAAATACATTTAATTTCTTAGCTCAAATACTTGCGTTTGTCATTTATTGGATACCTATTTTTCACGCGGGATCCACAACACTTATTATCTCCCAAAAAACCTAAAATAGTATTGTATGCAAAATATTTAGATTTCGGCATTAAATTGCTCATAGATGTTGCTGATGTGCTGCTAAACAAAGACAATCCGTCGACATTTGTAAATGATGCGATCTCTATTTTTAAAGTCAGCAGTCAATATGTCAGTTTGTTAAGCAAATCACCCCAAGCAAATCGGAAGTGCTACTAGCGCGCAAGGGATTACAGAGGATTAAGAGCAAGAGTAAAGAGGCGTGTTTGGAAAAGGATAAAGAGAAGGACAAGGATCAAAGTCAAGGCATCCGAAAATGTCGATTGACATTACATTTGAATATTATAGCTAATAGGGAAGCAAGTGATAGGAAGGGATTTCCACTGGCGGGACGTGCTAGCTAAGAGGCTGTTGGAATAGAAGAGGTGGCTACATTTAGCCGTTTCAACAGTAAAAGGGTAGGACATAGATGCCAACCTAGTAGCCCGCTTAAATTCATGCACTTTGGGAAGCAGTGAAAGTAGCTCGTAAGAGCAGTTGCCATAAAAATACTTGTAGAAAAGACAGAGGGAAGCCACATCACGTCTGGGAGAATGTGACTGTAGCCGAGATGCCAGATCAGGATCTATCACATTGCATATCCGTCTCTGGATTTTGTCGAGGAGCTCGAGATGAACAGCGGGAGCACCAGATCATATATGGCATCAGTATTCCATACAAGGACAAATGGTTGATCCGAAAAGTTGAAGGATGGTGATAAAATCCTTCTGGGCTGACACAGAAAACCAACTTCCCTTGCGTTAGATGAAGCTATAGATTCAATGTAGTTGTTCCACTTCAGACATTACGAACAGTATTCTAACTTGTAATATGATTAAAAAAAAAATCAATATTTTTTCGATTCTGTTACATGTCGTGGTTTCAGGGGGTCTAATGATTGCTAACCTGTAAGAAAAATAAAATTCTTCACTATTCGGGCTGATTCGTCAACGAAAGCCGGACTAAAAAATATATCCTGAAGAGTAATCGTCCAAATGATTCTAATTAATATTGGCAATTAGATTGTGGAAGTTCATAAAAAATAATAGGTTCGATTCACTAGAAGAGAAGAAAATACTTATCAGATATTGAAACATTCACCAGAATTTACTATGGAATATACGGAATGCCTGGCACCTATTTTCTCTCATTATAATCCACCTGATTTCCCTTTCAGATTTGAAAACTAATTTCTGACACGATAGATGAAGAATGTCAGACAAGAAGCGATCTTAGAGATAAATATACGCACAAACTTTTTAGAAAGACAGAATTAAATCGGTAAACGCTGAAAGAGTTTTGCGTAAAGTTGTATCTTTCATGTTTGAATTAACTACATATGTCCCTGTTAACTTAGGATGACCTCCGTCCTCAGATGTTAGAAGATGATGGATATTTTCTCTGTCAAAGGCCAGACATCCGTATTTATTCAGTTTCGCGCTAGCCCATACCATCCAACGGAGCCTCGCTCGAGAAATGTGGCGTTAGATCAACACAGGTGCCACCGTTGGTTTTGAGATTGGCATCAAGCGGGGTCCCTCGCGTGTCTTCAAAAATGTTATCTGGCATCAGTTCAAAGATACAAACCACCCTTATGTTCAAAGATAATACCACCCATTAATGTGTACGAGTCAGATTTCATGCATGACTTCCTCGTGAGATCTTTGAATTATTGCATATTAAATTGCCAAAAATAAGAACAGCAGATCATCGAAGTTGAAAAAATAATCGGATGAACCGATTTAGATAAAATATATTCTTCTTCTTCTTCTTCTTCTTCTTCTTCTTCTTCTTCTTCTTCTTCTTCTCATCCTCCTTCTGCTCCTCATCCTCCTCCTCCTCCTTCTTCTTCTTCTAATTATTATTATTATTATTATTGTTATTTTTATTTTCTTTGATTTCTGGCGTTTACACATTTCTTTCCGGGTCCCGCCCAGGGACCTAAGGTTAGAAATGGCATCATGACACTTTCCACTGACAAAAAAAAAATATATATATATACATAGATACAGACCTTCGTAAAGTGTGGGCTGTACTTGTGAGAACAATTTTTTGTATCTCCTTGAGGCATGGACTTCCAGGAATCCCTTCAATTAGTCTACTGCAATCTTTTCCAACCAATCCTAGGGCTCCAACAGAGATTGTTGATGTTCCCATATGCCACATTTTCGAGGTTTCTATTTCAAGGTCCTTGTATTTTGACAAATTTTGAATATCTTCAAAGATACATTGCAGTCAGCAGGGACTGCCATATAAATAAGGAGGCACTGTTTTTGTTTGTGGTCTTTAATAACAATATCTGGGCGGTTGGCTTTGATTGTTCTGTCAGTGTGTATTGTATAGTCCCATAGAATTGTAACAGGTCCTATCTCCGTAACCGGATCTGGGTGGTGTTCATACCAGTTTCTTTCAGTTCCTTCCCGTAGAAGTTATTATTATTATTATTATTATTGTTGTTGTTGTTGCTGTTGTTGTTGTTGTTGTTGTTGTTGTTGTTGTTGTTGTTGTTGTTATATTTCGATTTCTACTATGGTCGCACTACCTATCACGTTTGCGTTTGGTGGGAAGTGGTCTGTTGTTATGGCTACATTTCAGGATTTGTTTTATAACCTCTCGTAACGTCACTAGAGTTATCTGGACAAAATTAGTCTTGGTGTTTGAGCTGTACTTAACACGACAATGTTTTGTATTTCTCTTAAACTGGGATTCCCAGTTATGTTTTCTATTCGTTGTTGTGTTCCTTTTTTTATCATTTCAAGCGCACTTACTATGACTCGTACTATCCTTATTTTCAATTTCCACATTTTTTTTTCTATTTCGATTTCAAGGTCTTTAAACTTCGATAGTTTTTCAAATTACTTGGTTGCTATATTACTGTCCTCTGGATAAGCCATATTAATTTACAATAATATCCGGTCTATATGTTTTAATCTTCCTGTCTGTAAAGACGGTGTAATCCCAAAGAAGTGTGATGTCTTCTGTTTCTGTAACCGGTGCTTGGTATAATTCATACAAGTGTTTATTAAAATATTTTCCAAAGTGTTTGCACATTGCCCAGTTTAAGTATTGCTCAACATTATCGTGATGATTTTTATGTTCATTTGGTGCAAGTACAGAACATCCTGAAATTAGATAATCGATGGTTTCCTAGTATTTGACACGAACCTAAGTTTTGGATTCACACTATTATGTATGATGTTTGAATGAAAGTTCTTAGTGAAAATCTTCTGTCCTTGCCCTGCCTTTACTCCAGATGCCCGTAACAATCAATGGGTGTTAAATTTATCAACTTTGGTTTTATAAGTTCGTTCTTGATGTTTGCCATGCAGAGATTTGTCTTGTCAGCGTTGCTTCATCTGTTCAAAGCTTTATCTTTGGTTTTCATTTTCATACTTTTGCTGCAAAACTTGGTTATTAGGTTCTATTTTGGTTTTCTACGGAATCTATTGAACGTAAATCTCGTTTGTTCATGATTGAATAGATTTCGTTCTGTTTTCATGAGTGAATATTTTTCATGATTATTTCATGATTGAATAATCTTTCTGTTTTCGTGTTTGACTAATTGCATCATTAGTCCTTTGTTGTTTCCATGTATGTTAGTAATCCAATAGTTGTTGTCTTGTAAGACATTTCTTGTAGAATAAGACCACTTCCACCTTCTTTACGGGGTATGTATAGTCATTCTGCATCAGCCTTTGTATGATGCATGTTAAGTTTAGTCAGAAATTTTCTTGTCTTAGAATTCGTTTGTCTGATGTCATTTAGAATCCAGATGAAGATGTTGAAGCTATATTCTAGCACTGCGATGACAAGGCTAATAATGGTCATAATTTGGTTCTGAGAATTCAATCCATTTCTTAATATCAGTCTCATTATTCTATAGTACACTTTTCGCACTATTTCTTTCATGTTTTTATAGTCAATTCCTTCCACTTCATTTACACTGAAGTAGTTATAAGCTTCTTCATGCTCTAAATCTTTGATTGTTTCCCCAGGATCTAAGCCAATAATGGAGGTTTGTTGTAGTTATCCTCGGAAATTTGTAACTTGAGTACAATTATCCAAACCCAATTTCATTACAATGTCATCATGGAAATATCTCATTGTTTCAGATCTTCCAACTCTCATTCGTAGCATATAACCTCTAGTCAGCCATATAAAATAGATGGCTTATTTTCTTTTGAGATATCTTATAACCATATACTGTCTTGGTTAATGCTATTAGGAATATGCAAAATAGTAAGGTAGACAAAAGTCAAAAAGACACCTTGAAATATTCCTGTGCTAATATTTATTTCACCAGAATTATAAATTCTATTTATATCATAGACCTGATGTGTTGTTTTCCATATCGACATACTTTTGTTTGGTGAAACTGAAGACAATAGGTGACACCTTGTATATATTTAAACACTTTAAGATCCAGGAACGGTTACCCTATCGAGTGTCTTACGATAATCTATCCAGGT